ATCTACCATTGATATTTTGTCAATTATTATTGCTTGAATTTCTTTTAGTTCTGATTCGTCATTGGAGTTACGGTGTAGTAAGGTCTCGTAGTGGTTGTTGGTGAGTCTAATTTTAAGGGTAGAATGGATTGTTTTATCATTGATAGATTGTGCGGCGACTCCAGTGGGGGCCATTAATAAGCATTTTTTGTTTTTAGACTTTAGGTATGAAATGATTTGATTTATCATAAATGATTTTCTGGTTCCAGCTAGACCTGTTAAAAGGAAGTAAGGATGTTTTCCGTTGCTAAATTTTCCCCAGACATTACATAATGTATTGTAGATACTATATTGATTAGTATCTAGTATTAATGAAGATTGGAAGTTTGTGTGTGGAGGATATTTTTCTAGAGAAAGAAATTGGGCGAACATAAACTTAGATAAATCTTGGTTTTGGAATTCGGCTAAAAGAGATCTTATAACTGATTCATAGGCATTTGATAAGTTGTCTCTTTCTTCTAGATGACTTTTGCGTAGTGAATCAATTGCTTGTTGATATCTAATGGGAAATATGGATTGAAAATGATTTCTATATATAGAATGATGCCCTAATAATTCTTGTTCTAATCTTGCGGAGATTTTCATTAGGATATGTTAAAAAAAAAAGGTTCTCCATCTTCAACTTTATATGGTGTGAATCTTAGGAGAATGGGCAGTTTACGTCGTTTAACTATTCTATTTTTGCGATCGCAGGTATGAAAAGATCTTGAATGTTGGCTGGGTTGTTTGGTGCTTATAACGTAATTTTTGAAATATTCGGGATAAGTGATGGATTGAAAGTCTTTATGGTCAGGATGATCAAAGTATTTATCAATTGCATCGTCCCAATAGGGAGTGTTGTCATTATCAGGATTGTCATCGTTGTTATCGTCTCTTGTGTTTAATAAATGAATGGGCTTGACAGATCTTAGTCTCAGTTCAGAAGGTGCAGAAGGGAAATAGTGTACGGAAACGGAACATCTTGTTAGTGAGTATTGGAGTAGAAGTACCATTAACTCCATTGCTCCTAATCGTCGAACCATGATATGTCATCTATATTCGTCATTTTCATCAATATCAAAGAGTTCTGAGGGTTCGGCTTTAGTTACATATTTTGTTATATATTTTGCAAATCCAGTAATAGTAATGTATTGAAAATTTATGTGTTCTCTCCAGATTAATAGGGTTTCAGGGTGGTATGGAATGACCATGCGATCTTCTTCTTTAGTATGACGATAAACATAGCGTAAAGTGTTAGGCGAACAGTAAGTTATTTGGGACAGAGGTTGGGAAAAACCTTTAGAACATTGTTCACCATTGGAGGTTGGTCCTCCGCATTTGTGATCGCAATAGTGTATTTGGAATATTGTAACTAGACGATATAGTTCAGGTTCGGTATTAGGGTCTGGTACGTTGACACGAATCAAATTAAGGTGAATTAATTCAGGAATTTTTTTTTTAGTGTAGGCGAAGCTATGTGTATGTATTGTTCCTCTATTTTGAAATTCATCATGTTCAAAATAGTGTTCCCATTTCCCCCACCTGGCTAAATTTTGATTCTTCCATAATTTGCTACGGATATTATTTAAGTAGTTGCGATAAAACATGTAGACGTGTAATGGGCGATTGGTTGGTAATATATCATTATTGTCTGTTGATTCTAAGATTTCTCTTAGCTGTGGCCATTTATCTTCAGCCATGGTTATTGTATAGAATATTTGTGGCAGACTGTAGGCATATGGAGGTAAGTCAGTAGAAAAGGGACAAATCATTTTTAGTAAAATTTTTTTAATTTTTAAATTAAAATATCTTAACAATTATTTA